TGGGCCAGACCATTTACTTATATATTTATTTCATTTATACCTCACTGGTCTCCCCAATAGGGACCCAAAGCAGGTTATATAGTTCTCCTCTCCTCCATTTTATCTTCACAGCAACCCTGTGAGGTAGGTTAAGATGAGAGAGTATGACTGGCCCAAGGTCACCCAGCATGTTTCCAGAGCAGAGCAGGTATTGGAACCTGGGTTTCCCAGATCTTAGTCCAACTCCCTACACCACTTCAATGGTTCAACGGTCAAAAACAGCACTATGAACAAACAATGGCACTGGATCCAACACTGTATGGTATCTGAGACACCGGCAGAATACTGTCAGCATTTACAGGAGCTAAGGTAATGGAATGAGGAAAAGGCAGAAGTGCTGGATAAAAATGGACCTCACACCTAACCAGGCATAATGCATTGTACATCTGTAAGGGCACTTCTGTATACAATCCGTATCAGTTGTGAAAGCCTGGAGAGACATCACCTCATTGGCACTGTCAGAGACATAGGCAAGCTGAGGAGCCAAGTTCCAGAATCAGTCAGGGCTAAATCTAGAGGTCGGTTACTGGGAAGTCAGAATGGAATTCAGGGAGTTGTCTGAGAGTGAGGTCTAGCAGTCCGAAGTTGTTTACCAAGTAGTCAGAGCAGTTTCAGACGGTCAGAGTCAAGAGCTAGTCCGTGGGTCTAAGGAGCAGATTCTGAAGCTATGGTCACAGAGTCAGCGGTATGTTGACTTGTTGCTTCCTTGCCTAACAACCTCCCTTGGCTGGTTTTACAGGCCTATGCCTAAGGGTCATGTTTGCAGCCAGCTGCTCGGGAGTAATCCTACAACTACTCAAGCAGCTGGTGTTGAGCCAGGAGACGAGCACTTTGTCATCTCTCCTGTATTTCTGTTTGTAGCCTCTGTTTGAAGCGCTCTAAGGGTGTAGGTGATGCTAGAGGACTGGGAGCTATTAGCTTAGTTTCACTTGTTGAATCAGGGCTGAAGGGTGTCAGCAGCTTTGCACCAGCTGTTGGCTGTGAATCCTGGAAATTCTGCAGTGCTTGCTGGCTTCTGCTGACTCAGAGCTGGCTGCACGTGGCTCCTCTTCTCCTGAGGAGTCCTCACGGAGCCCTGGCTGACCCACAACAGCACTCCAGCAGCACACCTCAGCCCAGTCCGGTAACTGACTTCTGTTCCAATGACTGCTACACTTGTCACCCAACAGATTCAAAATTTTAGAACTGACAGCACAAAAAAGCCAGAAAGAGAGAAGAGGATATCCAACAAAGGGGTTTGGAAAGGAATAATTTATTATCCTCATGAAGTTTAACACATTTTGATTAAAACTGTCTTCCTCATGGGCTACAAAAGGCAAAACTATATAATGAATTTAAGTGGGGATTTTTTTAAAAAAGACAACAACCAGAACTATAGATACTGCAAGACAGACACCAAAGATGTCAAACATGTGAACATATTCAAAGGCAATGAGCAGAATCATTCAATTTAGACTAGCATTGGTGGGGGCAGTGTAGTCTGTTCTCCAGCACACCTGGATAGAGTGTGGTGAAATGTATAGTGGGAATAATATAACCCGTGAACTGTGGTAATCTGCAGTAACTGAAACAGGAAAGGATTCCTGAACAACATTTAAAGAGCTTTAAAATGCATGTAATTTCAGCCCTATACAGTACATTTAATAGCTTTGCCCACCCCTCCCCTCAGTCTAACAACCTGCCACCAGGTTTGTCTTCCTCCTCCCCCTGAAAATGACAACAGTATAATAGCACTGAGAGACAGATAACATCAGTAAACTTGTAAGCAATTCAGAATGCTATAATACCTTAAACATTTCCAGTCAATTATCTTAGGCAGCTGTTTTGCCTAGTTATGTACAAGGAGTTTGTTTCAAGTTATCATATTCTTTACTGTTGTTTTCCAAGTCTTCTTTGATTTGATGGCACATTTCTGAGAACATTTAGCCACCAGCACAGACTGTTAGTAGAAAGTGCCCTCGCCACAGTGAACTAATGATAATAAATAATATTTAGCACTTACATTAACGGTTTAGAGTATTCAAAGTGCTTTGCATGAATGATGTAACCCATTGTTACAACAATCAGGCAGGTCAGTACTGATAATATCCCCATGTGACACATGAAGAGACTAAAAGAAAGTAGCTTGCCTAGGATTTATTTTATATTTATTTACATCCCATTTCCCCCCCTTGTGGAGACCAAAGCAGCTTATCACATCATTTTCTCCATCTCTATCTTATCCTCATAACTACTAAACTGTGAGGCTGAGAGGTTGTTGTGACTGGCCCAAGGTCACCTGACAAGCTTCCATGAATGAGAAGTTAATTTGGTTGTCCCAAGTCCTGGTCTGACATTCTAACTGCTACACCACACTGGCTCTCACCTAGGCCACCTAATGAATTCACAGCATGACCCTCTGAACTAGGGATTTCCCAGTTCACAGCTTAGAATCTAAAAACTGTTTTATTAAAAATATTCATAGCCTGCTTTTCCATCTAAGAACTCAAGGCAGATTACAACCATTTATAAAACTTATAAAACCACTTAATACATCAGTTTTAAATTGCAAGGGGAAAGAGTTAACACACACACACAGTATTCCCACACAATATTGCCCTTGCAGTATTTTTCTGATTAGAATACACAGAGTTGCTCCAACCAAGAGTTTATACTTTTTCCCAAACACATACTCATTTTTACCTCTCTCTTTTTGTTTTGTTTTGTTTTATTTTGTACGTTGAGAAATTCAAGCATTGATCCCCCATATAATGTGAACTTTGGCTCGGAATGAGCAGCAGAAAAAGAGAGGTTGAAATCTCCAAGAGTGCATCTCTTGGTTTATAACCTGAGGCTGGGACAGTTTTTCTATACTCCCGTACTTTCTGGGATACATTGGCCATCTTTGCTTGTGACACAAAAGGTGATCTGTGGGGAAGACAATGCATGCATACTCCTCCCTCAAAACAAGAGAAGTAAACTATATGGTCACTTGATGCTTTCCAACTCTGTTTGGAAGAGCTGGAACTTCCAACATATAACCTGTCCCCCCCCCCCCCCCAAAAAATCCATAAATCTCTCTGGCTAAAACCAAAGGCACTTTCTCAGAGACCCATTTTCCTCACGTGTTACTGTTTCAAGAACGGACCTCCCCACCTTCTTCTTAAAGCTTTTCACCTCAGTGATGCTTTAATCTCTGCCTCCAGCATAAATCACTTTCCAGATAAGCTCTTGCTAGAATGCTTTCATAGCCTCCAATTAAAAGGAAAACTCCCATAAAAGCTTAAACCATGAACAAATGAAGCAAAAAGAAAGAGAGATTTGTGTGTTCAAGGAGAACCACCAACATACCCTCTTGCTTTTTTAACTCCTTAATTGGTTATCAGAGACACAGAAGACACCAGGGGCGGAATGGATTCCAAATCAGCCTTTTGACTCACAGTTTGCCCTCAAACCATTATTTCCCCCCAAAGCAGCATAACAGAGCTGAGGTTTCTCGTCACACATGAAACTCCAAATAAGCCCACTTCCTTTGGCTAGTGGGAAGTTATACAGATCACCCATACGGATCAGAATCAATGTGGTTGACAACTTCAGTTGAGTTGCAAAGTATGAGCAGCTCCACGCCTTATGTGGCAAACATGTTCACTGCACATTGTAGTGGTATTTTCCACAGCAAATGTGTAATATGTGAATGACATATACGCATGTAACCATGTAACCTAGAGACACTAGCCTAGCCAGGGTGTTCGTTGCTGTCTATGCTTTATTTATTTGTTGCAGGAGCTACTGTGTGTACCAGCTGAAAATTTATTGAACCCAGTCTGAAGCTGCCCTAACACTCCACATTCATGTTAGCCATGAAGTCCAGTTACCACCATGCCAAATAGCAATACTCATGCTATGAAATTCCACATCCCAATAAACTTCAGTAGTGCTGAAAAGTTGCAGTGTCAAACCACCAACCAAGACTTATATGGCTTCCCCTGTTGCTTTCCAATGCAGAGTCACTCACAGCAGGTAGGTAATTGTCAGGAAATGACAAAACAGGATTTGATGGAAGCATCACTATCATGCTTCCTGGAATGTGACTGGCCACACAGTAGTAATACCCAGCAGAAAGCTCTGCAAAAAGGACAGGTAAAAGACAGTAACTGAAGTTGGCAGTTAGTGCCCTGTGTCATACCGTCAATGTTGTACCCACAATGATAATCCCTCATAAATTCAAACATTTCTTCTTTCTTTTAACCCAGTTCATCAAGAAGCTTCACACAACCAAACATCATACTATGGATTTAGCACGATATCTTTTTGAAGCTGTATCACATCTCATATTTCAGGAAATGTAGACCACTAGTTCTGAGCTTTGACTGTATCTCCAAGCAGGACTGTATGTTTATACAATGCATCACAGAGCACTGATATTACAAGCAAAAGATATGATGCCCACAGGCTTGTTACACAGAGCTTCATTTTAGCCCAGCCTTGGTTGCAGAAAGCATGTTATTGACAAATGAGCACTTTAATTATTGGCAGGAAATGGGCTCAAGGATGTACAAATGATGGGATATGTCAGACAGCAAAGCTGCTGAGGCATGCAAGACGGCAGGATGTCTCTCTGCCAGAATCAACCTCATAGCTAGTTCACGTGTTAATTTTTTTCCTGTTAAGAGATAAATCTCCTTGTCAAAAGAGTAAAGTGTAAAGTAGCTCTTCGCAGAGCAAGCTCATAGCTTTAGCATTGTCTCATGGAGCCCAGGCTACAGTGTCAGCCACTGATAAATGAGGACGACACTGGGTCACTAAATTAAGGGTGCAGACATCTGGAGAGCATGGTATTTGCCAAGAACTTAGACTCACAAAGACGGGGAGAAGGGAAGCTTAAAGAGTTGATATGATTTAGTTGCAAAGGAAGTTTTTATGATGTAACTGGAATTCAGAATTCAAGATACAGTTTTACTGACATTACTGGTTGTACTTACATTGTAGAGGATGTCTGTCCACCCTTCCATGGTGATGCACTGGAAGACTGTGAGCACAGCAAACAGGATGTTATCAAAGTTGGTAATTCCAAAGTTGGGGCCTTCCCAGTACTTTTGGCATACGGTTCCTTTATCACATTGCCTGGCAGGTGGCTCCTCACCACATGGGAAATCTTCCACCCTCTCTTCTGTGAACCACATGGAAAGGGGGGAGAAAAGTCAGACAGACCCAGCTACTGAGGTTTACTAAATTACTGCTAAGCATTGAAAAAGTGAGCTTCTTTGGACTAAACCAACAATTCAAGATCAGTGTCTCACCACCACCATGCAATACAGAACCACTTTCATTCTGGTTTGTTTTTAAGCTTCTTAGCGGGAGGGAAAGTGGCATGGCATAGCCCGATCTCATCAGATCTCAGATGCTAAGCAGAGTCAGTAACTCAAAGGGAGACAACCAAGGAAGACTCTGCAGATGAAAGACTCTGCTTCTCACTTGCCTTGAAAGCCCCTTGCTGGGGCCACCATAAGTTGGCTGTGACTTGATGGTACTTGATCACACACACACACGTTGACCGCCCTATCACTTTCTCTCCTCCCTTCTCTAATGAGACTCACAAGTCATCAGTTAAGGATCAATAGATCACAAAGGACTCTCTACGCCACCAAATGGAAAATTAGGGATGCCACCTTTTAGACAATTAATTGGTTTGATTAAATTAATTTAAAAAACACTATGTTATCTTGAAAGACATTGGGCAATACTGTTTTTTAAAATGTTGATTATTTTAATCACAAAAGCTGCAGGTGGTAGATGCCATCTTAGAAAAGGCATTGCAGTTTGCTTCACATATCATAACATATCAAATGCATTCTTCCTTCAGTCTTTCACAGAAGGGAATGCCGCATCTAAGACCAAGTCTGCTCTGACGGTAGGGTTGCCAGCTCCAGGTTGGGAAACACCTGGAGATTTTGGAGGTGGAGCCCGAGGAGGGAGGGGTTTGGGCATAATGCCACAGAGCCCAACTACCGAAGTGGCCATTTTCTCCAGGTGAATTGATCTCTGTCACCTGGAGATCAGTTGTAATAGTGGGAGAGCTCCAGCTACCACCTGGAGGCTGGCAAGCCTATGTGATGGACAGGGGCCGTATAAAATTAATTGTTTTTCCTTCTATTTTCCCTATTTTACTTCTATTGCTTTATTTGTATGAATGTGTATGTTGATTTAATCAATTAATATCATATGAATGTATCAACTATCCACGTTTAATTGCTTAACAATCCTTTGAAGAACGTAAAGTGTTCTTAGAGTGTGCCTGCTCCAGACACCCTTCATGCAAATTATCCCAGAAAGCAAAATTGCAGATTTAATTCTATGCTGCACCCTAATTAGCTCTCCCTTTTCACAACACTTAGTACCTAAAAAAGAAAACAGTACGAAGCATAAGATAAGACCCTTACAAAGAGTTTTGATGCCTTATCTCTGCCATCTTTCACTGTTGCCATTGAAAAGAAAAATCTGATTATGCACATTTCCACGGCTGTGCCACCCTCTCTTTTATTTCTCCTCTCCAACCTTTCCCAAGCTGTGGCTACTTCACAATTCCATGGAGGCAACCCAAAAGCATTCCTCTCCACTCCCCAATTATAATTGCACACTGACCTTAGCAAACCTATCAGGGTCCACAGGGGTGGCAGATTTCAAAAAGAACACTGCCCGTGGAAAGAATCTCACATTACATTTTATACTTCATGAATGTCTCAAGACAGCTTGTTTCCAACCAGATTCTAGAGTGGCATCCCCCATACCCTTGCAATGCTAGAGCCTGACTTTCATTTATCTTTTACTCCTATTTCCCTTGGTTTTTCTCTTTCTTTTGTAATATGCAATTCATCATGCCCTTGAATAGATATCAACCATCACCCCTTTCAGTGCAATTTTGATGGTCAAAGGCTTATCACTAGGGCAGCAAAACAGACCCATTCACAAACAAGGTGGGGGGGGGGGTTGTATGCTTGTGAGGAAAGGAGGATGTCCCAGGTACATAAAGTTACTTGGTAATTTTTTGTTTTATTTTCTGTGGGGGTTTTGTAAAAAGGAGGAAAATATCCCTTCACATTGGCCTGTTGAGGAGGCACAGAATGTTGAGAGTTAAATAAATGGGGACAGATGTGTAAGAAGCTCATCATATCCCAGGAGGTGAGAGTTTCTTGTGCAGGGAGCAGGGGTAGGCTGGCCATTATGGTCATCGGGAATCTTACCGGTGAGCCGATAGCCTCCCTTCCCACTTGGACCAGGCTAGCTCAGGTGCAGAAGGACAGAGTGGGCTTCCCTGTCTGCCTGCCTGAGGTTGCAAACCATCCTACTGCCTCTGGGCTGGCCCAGCCCAGGGGGAAGTATGCCGCCTATTGAAGTCTGCATGTCATCCCTCTGCCATTGAGTTGGTCTGTGGGGGAGGCCCACATGCAGCTTGCTGGATAGGCTGACTGCCTCTCTACCCATCCTTTCGGTGGAAGAGGCTGGGGTGTGTTGGGGACAGGGCAGATGAGCAGTACTTCTTTCTTTCATGGGGCCATTTTCCCCTCCCAATCCTCTCCGGCCAGGGAGGGATTTCCCAAATTGTTCCTCTTCCTCACAAATAATTCCTTATTGGCCTCCAATTGATTCCCTCCAATACTGAATTTGATGGTCAAGTGATTATTAGTAGGGCCTCCCACAGACAAGGTGTGGGCTTCTGGTTAGATGTTTGAACTAAATTCTTCACAAACAAGTGCTTTAATCCAGCAAATACAACTCCGCCCCCCTCAGGGCAGAGTGTTATCCCAGTGAAGGGAATACCTAGGGAATTTCTGAACACTAAGTAGTTGTTCTATGCTTCCCCTCTGAGTATTCTAGGATGATCAATCATAAGGAATCATGATCAGAAGGAATATTAATTGGTTAAGTGACTGGCAGTGCAATCCTAAACTGAGTGGCACCCTTATAATCCCATTAACTCCAATGGATTTAGAAGGAAGCAGCTCTTTTTAGAACTGCATTGTAAATCTGCATATATATGTATGTTTCGGATGAGAAGGTGGGAATGCCATTTGTACTTCAAAATGCATTTACTGTGCCCTAACCTGAATAGCCCAGGCAAGTCCAATCTTGGAAGTTAAGCAAGGCCGACCCTGGTAAGTACTTGGATGGGAGACCTCCAATGAATACCAGGGCTGGGATGTAGAGGAAGGCAACAGTAAGCCACCTCTCTGAAATGTCCAGGCTCCACTAATGGTCACCAGAAGTCAGCCATAACTTCCAAGCATGCATGCACACACACACAAAATATTCACCAAATATATATATTGTATTGTGTGAAAAGCAGACACAATCTGACACAGGCCAGTAAGCAATTATTTACTTAGACCACCACAGCCAAACAGCAAGCACTTATTTTATGCTGACTTTTTGTTTTGTTTTAGCTCTTCCTGTGTCCTTTAACTGATAGGAACAACAACAACCTCCTGAAAGTACTGTGTACACTGGAGAATCTCAGTGTTGCAAAAACTACTACAAAGCTGCTGGAACTCCATTTAAACAGTGATTAGACAGATTCACAGAAAATAGGTTAATCAATTGCTACTAGCCATAGTGACTAAAAGAAACCTCCAGAGGCAGCAAACCTTAGAACACCAGTGCTGGAAAGCAGCATCAAGGAAAGGCCTCTATGTCCTGTCTGTTGCCCCCCCCCCCCCCCCCGGGCAACTGGTTGGCCACTGTGTGAAACAGGATACTGGACTAGGTGGAGCATGGGTCTGATCCACCACTGGTCTTCTTATGTCCAGCTTGCATTATGCATTTTACTATAAATCATTATTGCTGCTTCAAATGCAGTGACAATGAATGTTTATTTCAGTGCTTGTCTGAAGAGATTTCAGTCTTTTAGAATCATGCATATCAATACCTTAACTATCCAGGAAACACCCATGTTTAGATGATCCAACTAAAACAATTCCAGGAATTTAATTGCCCAATACAATTTGTAGTAACAAAGATGCTTGTGGAGCTATGTGAAACTAAGCAATAAATAAATCTGTGTCCCTTGGAAAGATTCCCTGGGTTCTGAATGCTGAATTTGAGATTGCATGTGCTTCGCCTTAATATAGGAGTGAAGCAAGGCTGCCTGTTAGTACCTTTACTTTTTAATCTATATCTGAATGACCTTGTAACCACTCTTTCTTTAGCGGAATTCCACCTTCCATATGTATCCTCAAGGGCACTAACTTTATTCTTTCTATGCAGATGACGCTATTCTTATGTCCCACACTCAGGTTGGACTTAAAAAGACTCCTGAGCCGTTTTTCAGAATACTGTAAACATGAAGAATTTAAGATCAATTATTCAAAATCAAAGGTCATGGTTCTCTCTAAAGCCAAGAAAATTACCTCCTCAGTCTGGAGAACTGACAGTGTTCAACTAGAACATGTCTCCAAATTTTCCTACCTGGGTGTGGTTTTTGAACCTCATCTAAATTGGCAATCCCATTGTAAATTTGCACTAAATAAAAGTAAAACCTCTCTCCCAGCGATTGAATGCTTCTTTTTCTCTAAGGGAGGCAAACATATCCCAGGGGGTCTGCAAGTGTTCAACATGAAAACCATCCTGCAGCTCCTTTATGGAACCTCACTATGGGTTCTTTGAGTCAATGAGAACTAGATCACTCTCTTTACCTTTTTCTGCAACGTATTATAGGAACTCCAAAACGTATAGCTGAGATAGCTTTAAGATTAGAATTGGGCCAGGGCTCTCTTGAAGCCAAAACATGGCTGCATGCATTTAGACTAAAGGTCATTTTCTCCACAAAGAAGGACAGTCTGCTTTATGAGCTAAATCAAGATCAATTCTATTCCTGCCGGATGCAAGAAATAGATAAGAAACTATCTCATCTTGGCCTAGCAAAGGACAATGTATTGAGACTTTGTAAAAGCAAATCTTTACTAATTATCAAAAAACATAAAAGACCTTGATCAATTTGGCTCAGTCATATGAGCTCGGAGAGTATGCTCCACCCATTTCTGTATTCTGTGGCATTCTCCCACCTTCAGCCATCCCAGCCTGCATTAAATGCCTAACTGTTCCTCGTTATTGTAGAGCATTCATGCTCACATACCTGAACACTGCCCCTTCAGCAGTCCTATATGGGAAGGAGGAGGAGGAGATTGGATTTATCCCCCACCCTTCACTCAGAGTCTCAGAGCGGCTTACAATCTACTTTCCCCTCCCCCTCCCCACAACAGACACCCTGTGAGGTAGGTGGGCTAAGAGAGCTCTTTCCAGAACTGCCTTTGAGAGAACAGCTCTGATAGAACTATGGCTTGCCCAAGGTCATCCAGCAGCTGCAAGTGGAGGGGTGGGGAATCAAACCCAGTTCTCCCAGATTAGAGTCCACGCACTTAACCACTACACCAAACTGGCTCTCTGGGAGATACTGTGATTTGCTTTATTGGGACAGACTTTGCCAATGTGATTTGAAGAAGGTCGATTCCCTGTCCCATATGATATTAGAATGTCCTCATTATAACTTTTATCGTGAGTTATGGATTGTCCCTATTTTAACCAAATTACCTTCCACTGTATCAATAGATAACATAGTCCCTTGCTTGTTGGTGGATACAGACCCAAGGATTACGCTGGCTGTGGCCAAATATCTCTCCACCATATTTTCCTTGTAGAAATAAAAACTCCTTATCCACTGCTCAAGATCACTGGATCAAAAGAGCTTGAAAGGAAAGGAAAGGATTGCCAGCGCTGTGGCACCGCTGTGACCATTCTCAGCTTGCATCCACAAACAAGAATCACACAAAGAGCAAATTCAGATCCTTCTCCCTCCCTGCCCTGTCCTCTACCCAACTAGCCTCATCTCGTCTCTAACACAAAGCTACATAACAGCATTCCTATTCCCAAAGGACCACAAGCACGGGCTTTTCCCAGTCTCTAATGCTGGATGGATATTAGTTGCGACCATGCGCCTCAGCACTTGCCTTTGAAATCAATCCCCATCCTGATTCTTGATTCCCATCAATATTCCAGGAGACTGTTTCATTTGACAGCTCCTTCCCTGACCTACTTTCCCTCCCAGCTCATGCCAGAATGCTGCTGCGGCTGCTGCTCCATGAAGCTCACGATGCTTTGAGCAGATGAGAACAAGCCAAACTAATGTGTGAGATTACCAGAGGCTCCTTAGATGAGCCAGAAACAGCCCTTCACTTTCCTGGCACACAAGGGACTACAGGTCAGGAAACCTCAGCAACCCAGCTAACTTTGTAAGAATGCAGTCTTTCCAGTTCACAGGGTAAGGAAGAAGGCAGACTCATTTCCTAAAGCCTGTCAGAGCAAAGGGAGTTCAGGGCATTCAGGGATCCCCAAGAGGTGATTAAAGGAGACAGGACCCAGGTAACTATGATTGCCCTTTACTTCTCCATTGGACGGTGGACCCAGCAATGCCTCTCCCTCCCCAGGTATTTCACAGGGAGAAGTAAAGCCAGAGCTATTTGTCTGCTGCAGTAATTTAAAAAAAAATCTGTACAGTAACAGAGATCTTGCAAAAATCAAAGCTGAAGTCTGCAACTTACATTCATTATTCAAACTAAATATATATCCATGATCTCTTAATCTGAATAATTTATTCACAATAACCATGGAGAGGGGGAGGAAGGAATGTAGGGCATCAAAAAATAATGAAAACTAACTTTCTTAAGGCCTACAGGTTACATTTTCCCTGGGTTCTCCCCAGGTGTCTGCAATCAGATGTGCAGTTTTGAATTCCTTACTGAGAACTCAATTCCCAGGCACACAAGGCCCAATTTGGATCAGAACCACTTTGTGCATAGAGAAAGGGCTTATGTCTTCCCCAGAAAATGCATTTTCCCTATCTTGAAAGCCTCAGGGAATCAATATTAGCAAAATTGGGGGTGGGTGGGTCTGTGCATATTGATGGGATTTCCCCAATAGGACAAACAGCTCCCCAGGGGCCATTTCAGATCAGGAAAGCATGGGGGGATTACGACAAATCCCTTCTCCCCATGTGCTGCAGTCCCACTCTGACCCAGGCTCCGTATACATGGTAGCTGAGTTTCCAGTAGGGAATTCACACATGCACATCTGAAGGACAATGCTTGTGGCAGACCAGGACCTGCCCCAGGGCTGTGTGTGAAACAGCAATGTCCTTGGGAAGCTGAATTCCAGGGCTGGGCTGTGTCATATGCGTTTCTGTACCCCCGTGGGATAGTGGTATGCATGCAATTTTCATCTACGACCTCAGAGTTTCCACACAGATTCCCCAGCTTTCCCTTTTCCAATGCTCTCATTTCAAGGCAGCGGAGTAGACTTGTCCCAGGCCCTTTTCAAAGTCATAATGAATCTTTACCAGGAAGATAGAACTCCTGGGACAGCCCCTTTCATTTTTTGTTTGGAACCCCTTGATTTACTGTCCATTCCAGCCAAGGCTCTGTGCTCAACCTATCACCACTTACAACCCAGGGATGCAGATCTGCTCATTTCCTGGCTACCTCCCTGTGCCAGGATCTTCTTGTGGCCTGGGCATGTCCCCAGATGGTGTCCTGATCAAGCCTGGATCAATAAGTGGCTGGTTCAGTATTAAATATACTCCTCTTTTCCCGAGAGATACCCCATCGCCTCCCCCTGATTTAAAGGATGACACTGATTAATCAAGTAACAGTATTTTTAAAGAGTTAACTAATAATATGCATAAAAATATGCAACATAATACATAGACATTAACTCATTTTAAGAAGAGGTATTTTCTCTTCTCTCTCATGCAGCATGAAATGCCTGTTCTAAGATGGTGCTTGCTATACACCTCCTTAGATCATCTGAAAACAAAGGAGGTATCCCTTTTGATTCAGAACATGTACAACTTTATGCAGACTTCTTGATCAATCAGTAAAAACTCCCATGATTGACTAAAAATTCTTTAACTAGATGACAGCCCTAATTTGAATTCTTCTTCAGATCACTCCCCCACCCAGGGCCCTAGCTACAGGGGGGCCTCTCAGGGCCTGCCCCCCGACTTACTGCCAAGCCCTCCCAACTTCCCATCCAGTCCAGGCCTCCCGACTTCCAAGTTTTTATTTTATTTGTGGTGCTCCCTTGGGGGGGGGGTGTCAATGCAGGGTGCCTCCTGACTTAAAACCCTGTCGACGGGGCGCCCCCCCCCCCCCCCCCCCAAGCCTCTGCCTTTTTAGAACTGGTATTACCAGCAACCAGAAGAGCGCTGCTTGATCTCACCTGTTTCATTGGAGAAACATGCTTTGTGAAACTTGCCCATGTAGAACTCCAGTCCGATTATGGCAAACATCACAATGGCGAAGAACAGAAGGAGCCCAATCTGAAGGAGGGGCACCATCGCTTTCATGATGGACTTCAGGACAACTTGCAAACCTAATGAGAACAAGTAAGTAGCATTAGCCATTTATTTATGTATTTAATTTATAGCCCACTCTCCCCTAGGCATTAGGCTTAGGGCAGTGAGCAACACTTCAATAAATACATTTTACAATCAAATGAAAACCATTAAAACAATAACAAATTCTATAACTATTTCAGATGGCGTAAAGACCAATTTATGTCTGTGTCCCATGAGGGGAGAGGAGAGACAGAGGAGGCCAGGCTTGATGAAAAACCATTGCTCTCCTCAACCATAGGCCTAGCGGAACATCTCTGCCTTACAGGCCCTGCAGAACTGCACTAGGTCCCGCAGGGCACAGATGTCATTAGGCAGAGAGTTCCACCAGGATGGTGCCGAGGCCAAAAAGATCCTGACTCTGGTTGAGGACACTGACAGAAGTCCGGGCTTTACTATATGGAATGTTAATCGTAACCCATCTCTACTTTATTGCACTGCTTGAATGAGCTATTACCTGGAAGGGAGATGGCTGTGACTCAGTGGCACAGCATCTGCTTTGCATGCCAAATAAAATGATCAGGCAGAAGATGATGTAAAAAACCCCATGCCTATAATCCTGGAGACCTACTGCCAGTCAGAACAGACAACAGTGACTCTGATAGGCAACCATCTGACTCCATGTAAGGCAGCTACATGTGTTCATACGCAGAAGTCCCTCACTGAGATCTTTTCTCTACTTAGCAGGTGGCCTCAGAGGCAAGCTTTAAACTCTGCTAATACAAAATCAACAAAGCAGAGTAAATGAAATAAAATTGCTAGAAAATAGATGAGCCAGAAAAGTCACTTTAGAGAGAAATCCTAAATAAATGGTTTTAAATGGTCCATCTGGAACGAAAGCAAAGGGGAATACTTCTACAGGAAAGCTTAAACTTGGTTGGACTTAGTGTTTAGATGGTATAGTCAAGGACAGAAGCTGTGGTTCAGTGATCTTAGAGCACCTGCTTGTGCACGGAAGGTCTCAGGTTCAGTTCCCGGCAATGCTAGGTAAATGATCTTAGGGCCTATGGTTGTAACTGAGCAGAAGACAACTTTGTATGCCTACATCTAAGAAAAAGCAATCAGCTTTACAAGGAGGGCTGTTGTTCATCTCTTGTAAAAGGAAAGTCATTGTGGTATAGGGGCTAGACTTGGTCTGGGAAAGCCAGGTTCATATCCCCACTTGGCCATGAAACTAACTGGGGTAATCTTGGCCCAGTCCTTATCTTGAGGCCTAACTGATTTCAGATAATTGTTATGGCGATTAATAGAGGTGGGGAAAAACATTTATGTTGCCTTGAGCGCCTAAGAGGAAGGACAGAGAAAAGTTTGCTTATATAAAGAAAAATACACAGACTTCAGGAAACTGGAGTTGGACAAGATAAGTCTCTGCCTGAGAGCCTAGAAAGTTGCAGCCTGACAGACTAGAGAATACTGAGCTAGATCAAACAATGTTCTGAGGTTTGTAAGATTCTTGGGTAAGTGTAGAGATGTGAAGGCCCGGGAAAAAACCGGAAAAATTCGGGGGGGAAACGGGTTTTTTCCGTTTTTTTCCTGAAGCCTTTTTATTTTTTTCCAAAAAATTGGAAAAAATGAAAAAAGAAAAGAAAAGAAAAAAATTGATTATGGAATGTTTTATTTTAACATGATGAATAAAATATTTTAAGACAAGGTTTTCAAATATTATCCGAATCATTTCTAAAATATACATAGTATCAGATTGATCTAATTTCTGTGCACTGAGGACAAGCAAGTCCTAGGTTACAAACTGAACTCTCCAATGCAAGAACAAGATGCATTTCTTCCCTTAGGAGGTGCTATTGTCAGAAGAAAATAAAAAGGTTTCAGTTTTGTTTTTGCATGTGGGTGGGTATTCTGTTTGTAATAATTGTTTGGATACACTATATTTTTAATATGCTAGTTGTGATAATTTCAAGCCAAGTAAAAATGTCCATTGTCATATTTTATGTTCCTAAAGTAACCGAATGACTTTCAATCTAGAAAAGACAAAAGAAATGAATAAAATATTTTAAGACAAGGTGTTCAAATATTTTCCAAATCATTTCCAAAAAATATGTATGGTATCAGATTGATCTAATTTCTGTGCACTGAGGACAAGCAAGTCCTAGGTTACAAACTGAACTCTCCAATGCAAGAACAAGATGCATTTCTTCCTTTAGGAGGTGCTATTGTCACAAGAAAAGAAAAAGGTTTCAGTTTTGTTTTTGCATGTGGGTGGGTATTCTGTTTGTAATAATTGTTTGGATACACTATATTTTTAATATGCTAGTTGTGATAATTTCATGCCAAGTAAAAATGTCCATAGTCATATTTTATGTTCCTAAAGTTCCTAAAAAATATTACTTTCAATCTAGAAAACACAAAAGAAATGCTAATGTAGCATTTTTTCAATTTTTCCGAAAATTTCCGTTTTTTTCCAAAAAAAACCCGGAAAAAAAACGGGTTTTTTTCCTAGCTTCAAAATTTCCGGAAATGTTACATCTCTAGGTAAGTGTCATGGTTTGTGCATGTTAAAACCAATACCTTCCATTCAATTTATATTTATTTTATTGAACTTCTAGCCCACCCGCCCTTGTGCAGCAAGGCTCAGAGTGGGGCATAACAAGTTAAAACAATAATCAGATTATTAAAACAATACCAAACAGTAACCGTCAGAGCTAAAATCAGATGGCGCCTTAGGGACTAATCACACAGTATCCGGGTGAGGTTGTGCAACTGCGGTTTATAAAGCTGGTACACCATGCAATGAGCAGCAGAATGGGAGGGGGGGAGGAGAGCTCGGGGACACTGAACCACAAAGCCTGGCACAAAAACACAAAACCGGTGGGCAGATCCTACTCAAAGCAAATACATCAGCTCAAAAGCAAAGCCTACTCGGGCAGAAAGGAATACCAGGCAATCTGATCTGCTAACCCTAACTTCCACTGCCTCCTCTCAGACATTTATGGGAATAGTACAATAGTGTGAGCACACCAAGATAAGTTGTCAAAACTGAGGTATCAAGCTGTGAATCCTGTGCCTCTTCACAGGGTTGCCAACTCTGGGCTGGGAAATTCCTGGAGATTTTGGGGGTGGAGTTTTTGGGGGAGTTTACCAGCATATAATGCTATAGAATCCACCCTCACATGCAGGCATTTTCTCCAGAGGATTGATCTCTGTCATCTGGAGATCAGTTGTAATTCTGGGAGATCTCCAGGCCCCACCTGGAAGTTGACAGCCCTATGACCAATATCTTGTATTAAACCCTCTCTACAAATGATCAACACAGATACAAGCCTGTGGAACTTTCTGTCAATCAACCCTCATGCCTTTCACAAATACAAGAAGCACTTTCAATTAAAGCAGGCGAGATAAGAGCTGAAGCCAAGGAGACAACATAGTCAGATAATTTAATGCAGACAATGCAGAATGAAACAAAGCTGTGGTAACAGCTAGCTGCTGGAAGTCTCCTTCAGTGTGACCATAACTTCCATGTGCCATGAAATTCAGATGAGGTATCAAGGCCACCTGCACCATGCATGTAGCTGAAACCTGAAAATATCTCCCCCCCCCCATGGTGTCTGCACCCAAAGAGCTGCTGGTACGAAGAATCACCCATGCCCGACCTATATTTTACCCCACCCTTCCTCCAAGGACCTCAATGCAGCACACATCATTCTCCTCTCATCCTCTCAACATTTTGCCCTCACAACCACCTTGTGAGGTAGGTTAGGCTGAGAGAAGGATGACTGGCCCAAGGTAACCCACTAAGCTTCATAACTGAGTAGGGATTTCAATCTAAGCTTCCATGGTCCAACAATCTAACCACTATGCCCCAATGGCACTCCCAACAGCTACACAAAGCGTTAGTGAATGGCAGACAGATGGGGATCTCAGAAACTCCCACTCTATAGACTGCAGTGGTGCCCAGACTGTCAGTATTAAGTAAGAAGGGGATCTAATTATTCATACCACCGATCCATGGGCCAAACTAAATGTTACTCTTTTTAAGTATGGGTTCCCTAGACCCAGCTCAACAGCCACACAGCAGCTATGGGGAGTGGCTTTTTAAAAAGGGCCCAAACAGGCTTGGAATGGCGATGCAGGGGGAGGAAGGACTCTTGCCTCCCCTCAAGCCGTTTTCCTGCACAAAAACCATGGGGGGGGGAGTTATTTCCCAGATTTTGCTGTTCCACATTGAACACCAAAATCATGGAAATAACTCCCACCAGCATGGATTCCCCATGGCAAAACAGCTTCAGCGGAGGCAGGAATTCTTCCTCCCCACAGAGCATTGTTCCAAACCCAACACTTTACAAAGAATAAAGTTTAGTTTGGACATGTGTAAGGGTAACTAGAGACTCCATGCAGTTTGGCTTCTTCTCCAGCAGGAAGAGGTCCTGGCCTCTATGGGATGAGATTGTTCTGTGGCCCCACATCAGCATTGTGTCTGAAAGTATGAACCTGGGGAAGAAGTGACACGAAGCCACAAGAACAGTCCCCCCCCAAAAAAGCAGGTCAAGTACAAATGTATGAAATAGCACTACGCAAATCCGGAAGCTGCAGCAAGTGCAAAATGCTGCGGCCAGGCTTCTGATGGGTCTCCCCATGAGGGAACACATCCAACCTCTCCTGAAGGCATTGCACTGGCTGCCAATAGCATACCAGATTTGCTTCAAGGTGCTGGTTCTTACCTTTAAAGTCCTTTATGGCCAGGGTCCGACATACCTGAGGAACCGCCTTTCCCCATACATACCCCAGAGAGCACTTTGGTCAGGGTCACAAAATCGACTGGCTCTTCCAGGTCCCAAGGATGCCAGGCTTGCTGCAACCAGGACCAGAGCTTTTTCGGTGGTGGCTCCATACTGGTAGAATGAGCTCCTGGAAAAGATCAGGGCCCTGCAAAACCTTTTACAGTTCCACAGGGCCTACAAGATGGAGCTCTTCCACCAGGCTATTAACTAGGAGCCGCCGCCACTACCATCGCGGTCAGCATTAC